CATCATCATCACCATCATCATCATCGTTGTCAACATCATCATCATCATCATCATCATCATCATCATCATCATCATCATCGTCATCATCATCATCACCGACGGGACACCGACGGGACACCGGCGGGACACCGCGGGGCCCCGGCCGCCCGGAAGGGAGACATTTGGTCCGGCCGCGCCTCAGCCACACGGGACACCAGCGGGACACCGGCGGGACACCGCGGGCCCCCGGCCGCCCGGAAGGGAGACATTTGGTCCGGCCGCGCCTCAGCCACAGGAGACTTTCTTCTCGCCCGCCCACGCAGCTTCGCCTCGCCCGCACGCACGGCACGCACGAACACGAAACCGAAATCGATTTCCTGTTAGGGGGGCTCTCCGTTCCACGTCGATCTCACCCCCTCACCTCCGACTACTACTACTACTACTACTACTACTACTACTACTACTACTACTACTACTACTACTTCTACGACGGCGACTACTATTTCTACTACTACTACTACTACTACTACTACTACTACTACTACTACTATTACTACTACTACTACCACCACTACGACTACTACTACTACAACTACTACTACTGCTGCTACTACTACTACTACTGTACTACTACAACTACTACTACAACTACTACTACTACTACTACTACTACTACTACTACTACTACTACTACTACTACTACTACTACGACTACGACTACAACTACGAACAATTAACAATCACACTACGAATACAACTACGACTACGGAAACTGAGTCAAGCACATTCCGATGGCAATCCTCAGGATAAGCTGTCCAAAAATCCTTTCGCTGGTAGGGTAGCCCACACCGGGTTATTCAATAGGAGAAACAAACCCATCGTTCCCCAGCTTGCCCAAAAATCCAAGGACAATAATCCCCGCCGCGACGACGACGACGACGACGGGGACGAGGGGGCGGGGCGAGCTCATTCACCGCCGAAGGAAGCGGGATGGAGATGCACAACTAGAGACCTCCTGCGGTACAGTCGAGGCGTTGACCTAAGGAACCAAAATAAGGAACGAGGCCCAGTTTTCCCATAATGTCAACCTCGATTTCCCAGGGAAAACCTTCGGAAAACCCGAGGCAAACTTTGAAACAATCAAGGAACACCGAGCCCCTCTCCAACGAAAAGGGTTCCTTCTTCAGCGCCCCGACTGTAAATCGCACCGCTATCCCCCCCCCCCGGCCTCGTGCTGCAGGTCCCTCTCGGGCAGGATCGGAGCCGGCGCCCGGGCGGCGGGCGCGAAGGTGGCGCCGAGCCCGCCGCCAGGCATCGTCGAGCCTCTCGGGGTCGTCTTGGTCGTCGTTGTCGTCGTCGTTCGTCGATCGTCGTGCGTCGTTCGTCGGTCGTCGTTCGTATTTCGCCGGTCGTCGTTCGTCGGTCGTCGGTCGTCGTTCGTCGGTCGTCGGTCGTCGGTCACCGTTCGTCGGTCGTCGTTCGTCGGTCGTAAATCGTCGGCCGTCGTGGCCGTCGTCGTCTAGGGGCCGTGCCCAAGCCGCGGGGCCATCAAAAAACGGCCCACGGCGAAACAACGTTCTTGGGGATGGGGTCGTCGTCGCAATCGGTGCGATCGACGTCCTCCTCCCGCAAGGAAACTGGAGGAGTGGAAGGGTAAGGGGGGACAAGGCAGGAGGCAAAGGAGGAGAAGGAGGGCGAGGAAGAGGAGGAGGAGGAGGAGGAGGAGGCAGAGGGACAAAGGGAGAACGAGGAGACGGGAAACAGGGAGGCTGTGCTGGAAGGTTACATGTGATTGTCGTGTGTTTCCGGGCGTTCTTCATGGGTGTAAGCTCCGCCTCGTCACCATCCCTTCGAAGACGCGGAGGAGGAGGAGGGCAGGGGGCAAAAGGAATGATCAACTCGGAAAACAGCATCCCTACATACGTTGTTGTTTGTGTATGTATGCATGTCTCTTCCTCTCTGCCATTATTTCTTCTTCTTTTTCCTCTCTCTCTCTCTGTCTCTCCCGACCTCTTTTTCTCTTTCACTCTGTCCCACCCATCTGCTCTATCTTCCATGGGCGACGGCCCTTCTGTGGCCCCCCTCGCACGCTTGCAACGCATTCGAAGCACTCTGCCCGCTCCCATTCCGCGTTGTCAAATAAACTCTCTCTCTCTCTCTCTCTCTCTTTCTGTCTCCCTCACTTGTCTTCTAAGGAACTGGGCCGGCACCGTGGTCTGGCGGCTATGTTGTCGCCGTCGCCGCCCCGTCGCCGCCCGTCGTCGGGGCCTGAAAATTGGTTTGGCGGCCACGTTCCGCCGTCGCCGCCCCATCGCCGCCTCGTCGCCGCCTGTCGTCTGGGCCACATCACATACACCGTCCCTGACGAAAGAAAATTCGGAACGACGCCCCCCCCAGAATTAATGGCGTTCCGCTTCGTATTGCAATAGACATGTGGTTCTGCCCTCTGTTTCGCCTTTCCTACATCTGAATTATACCATCCCAGACAAACCATCACCTGCGAAAGCATATGCGCGCGCACCCGCTTATTAACAACATCAATTTTCAAACAATATACATATATATATATATAAACACTGAAAATAACGAAGTTTACACGCGCGTGCCGTCGCGCGCGCATGTACCAATCCTTCAAAAACTTGTGTTGCCGTAAGGATGTAAAAAAACAAGTGGCCCGAAAATGTTTGAAAACAAACACATGGTTTCGCAACTGAAGCTTTCGACTGAAAGTTTACGTTCGGGCTCCTGCGTTTTTTCGGGAAACCCTTGTTGTTCAACATTGTCGTAGCTTACTACCAAGCGGGCTTTTCGCGCGCGCATGTCGGAATCGTTCGAATGCCCTTTTGCGCGCGTGTTCTCGCAAGAATCTTTTGCAACACATGGACGAAGTGCACTTGCGCGCGTCGTCGCGCGCGCATGCAGAAATCCGCCAGAAAACAAAAAGTTCCACCCGAGCGTCTCGGACACATATAAAACACATGCCTGTGCAACAACAGTGTTCGTAAATGCCTGCGCTCGCGCTCCTGCGGGTTCTTACGAAAACCATTGTTTTGTTTCAACCTGCTCGTGAAATTTGGCCAAACAGGCCCCTCGCGCCGCACGTCGAAATCGTTCGAAAAACCTTGCGCGCGTGCTGGGGTGGCAGAATCCGTGTCAAATAATACCATGCGGCCCACTCTCGCGCGTCGGCCGCGCGCGCATGTCGAATTCCCTCCAAAACCTGCATCAGCGACGCGAGGGCGCCGTCATCATCGTCGGCGTGATCAGCATCGACGCCGTCAACGGCCCTGTTGTAGTCGTTGTCATCATCTTCATCAGCATCACTACCATCATCGCGTCTACCGTTGTCGACGTTGCCATGATATTGCGCCCGCCCACGCCGCCAACTCGCCTTGAAGCTCCCGCTGAGATGTGCCCAGCGGTCAGCGCCACCACGGCAGCGTCGGCAGCGCCAAACTTTATGGCCGGTGCGCGCGCGAGCATGCGCGGGCTGGCGCGGCCGCAGAGATGCAACAGTCAAACCCCAAGCACTCATCGCATCGTTCCCGCATGAGTGGGACGATTGCGCGAGCAGTGGAATGGACAACCCCCTGCGAACAGAAATTCTCTGCAGCACATAGATTCTCTTTTCTTAAAAAAAAATATACCCCCGCAGACTTATCCACTCCCCAGGAACCGATGCAACACATATACGATTCTGACCCAATGTCCATCCTACCGTACATGATACTATCCCAGCCAGGCCGGTATCGGTACCCCCCGCCATCCTGCGCAACAAACTATTCTACAACAAGTCACACGTGTCCGTGTCCAAGAATACATTGCAACAAATGTGACGAAGTGCGCACGTGCGCGTCGTCGCGCGCGCATGCCGGGATCCTTCAAAAAAGTTCGGTTTCGGACGGATGTCATAATCGAGTGCGCAATCAACACATAAGAAAGAGCGTGACCCACCGCCGCTTTACTCTAGAAAATTGCCACCCTTTTCCTCCGGAGCCCGGGGTTCCCCCCCCCCCCTCCCGAAAATCCCCCCCCCCCTGCTGGACCCCCCCCCCCCCTTCCCCGGCAAAACCCCCCCCTCCCCTAACCCCCCCCCCCCTTCGAACTTGAAAACAAGGGGGGGTCACTACCGGTTGTACCCTCTCCCCCCCCCCCTCTCCGGATCCGGAAAACCCGGGGGGGTCACTACCGGTTCGAACCCCCCCCCCCTCGAAAACCGGAGGGGGGTCACTACCGGTTCGACCCCCCCCCCAAACGCACCGCCAGCAAACAACTCCCGGTCCCTACCACCGTCCGCATCACATCCCCCACTTTTGTTCCCAGCACCACTGTCCTCACCACCACTGTCCCCACTGGTTCCACCACCGTCCCTACTGTCCCGACCAGTGCCCCCACCAATGTCGCACTGTCCCCACTGTCCCCACCACTGTTCCCACCACGGTTCCACTCTCCCCACTGTCTCCACGACTATCCCCACTGTCCCCACTGTCCCACTGACCCCTCCTCTGTCCCACTGAGCTGTCCCACTGTTCCCACCACTGTCCCCACTATCCCCACCACTGTCCCCGCTGTACCTCTGTCCCATTTTCCCACCGCCGTCCTCGCCACCGCCTTCACCACTGTCCCCACAACCACTGTACCCTCCACTGTCCCTATGTTTCCACCACATTCCCACTGTCCCCACACCATTGTCCCCACCACCACCAACCCCACCACTTTCCCACTGTCCCCACTGTTCCCACCATTGTCCTCACCATTGTCCCCACCACTACCGTCCCCACCACTGTCCCACTGTCCCCACCACTGACCCGTTGTCCCCTCACCACTGTCCCCACCACCACCGTCCCCACCACTGTCCGCACCACCCCTCGGTTTTCGAGGGGAAGGGGGGGGGGTTCGAACCGGTAGTGACCCCCCCCGGTTTTCGAGGGGGGGGGGGGTTCGAACCGGTAGTGACCCCCCCCCTTTTCATGATGAACTGGGGGGGGGGGGAGGGGTTCGAACCGGTAGTGACCCCCCCCGGTTTTCCAGAGGGGGGGGGGGAGGGGTTCGAACCGGTAGTGACCCCCCCCCGGCTTTCCGCCAGCAGCGGTAGAACACGCTCTTTCACACATAAGAACACAGGGTTCCGCAAGACGGATTTTCAACAAAAGCGTGCGCGCGATCTTGCGAATTCTAAGAAGAAAACCGCAAGTTATTCAACATGTTCCTAAAATGATACCAATAGGGTTCCGCGCGCGCTCATGTCGAAATCGTTCGACTCCTTGCGCGCGCTAGGGTGGCAGAGTCCGTGACAAATAATGCCATGCGGGGCACTCTCGCGCGTCTGCCGCGCGCGCATTTTGAATCCCGTCCAAAGTCTTCATCACCGACGCGAAGACGCCGTCATCGTCGTTGGCGTGATCAGCATCGGCGCCGTCACTGGCTGCCCCGTCGTCGCTGTCAGCATCGTCACCAGCATCGCTACTATCATCATCGTGTCTACCGTTGTCGACGTTGCCATGGTACCGCGCCCGCCCAAGTCGCCGACTCGCACTGAAGTGCCCGCTGGGATGTGCCGAGCGGTCAGCGCCACCGCGTTCGCGTCCGTCGCGCCAAACAAGCTGGCCGCTGCGCGCGCGAGCATGTGCGGGCTAGCGCGGCCGCAGAGATGCACCAGCCAACATCCAGCAGTCATCGCAATCGTTCCCGCATGGGTTTTACAAACCAAGTTGCGGGTGGGTCAGTAGGATTATTGCGCGAGCAGTGCAGTTGACAACTTCAAGTTCGGCAAGCGAAATGCACCACACCGATTGCACCACGTCGCTCACACAATCTGGGTTACACCACATATATTGACCACATAAGCTGCTCGAAACACACTGTTTGAGGTACACGATGGCTAACATACATGTTATAATTATGCATCTCTCTCCATCTCTCCCTCTCTCCCTTTCTTTAGATCCACTTGTCTCTCTCTCTCTCTCTCTCTCTCTTTCTTTCTCTATATTACACTCGCATTGTGGGCCCACGGAACGCTCACCATTCAACGAGAGGCGCTTCACGCAAAGAGGGTCGCAAGGCCCCAAAAGGGTGTGGCTCGGAGGCTGGGCCTGGGTCCCGCGAAGCCGGGCCCGGGCTGCGCAGCACAGGGAATCGGCACCGGCTGGGGGGGTCCTTCCTGCCCTGGAAAAGAATTTCCCGGGCTGACTCTCCCCACGTCAGCCCAAGCCTGCATGAGAGTCATGGCGCACTGTTCTGGGACGTGTGCTTGTGAATGCACAGCAGGAGGCGAGGATGGCATGCACAAGTGGGCGGAAGTAGGGGAGGGGGGGGGCAGCCAACGGGGGAGGAGTGGGGGGAGAGGACTGGGGGGGAAGCGGGAGGATGGGAAGGCGAGGGGAGGGAACGGAGGAAGGCAGGGGAGAAAGAAGTGGAGGGGCCATGGGAAAGGCAGCGAAAGAAAGGGACAGGCGAACGACCATTTAATGACAGAGGATGGAGAGGTGCTGGCGAGCAAGGCGACGACGGAGCGGACGGTGAACTGCCCCGTCTTTGACCCGAAGCACCGTCGATGGGTGGCGGCGCAGAACTGAACATCTGCGGCTCAGGCACCATTGCCTTAGCGCGGCTTGCCGCAGGACGGCTAACCAGCCAAGAGGGGATCCAGGGCCGGGGAGGGGCGGCAACCAGGGAACACTAGGTGATGCAGACGGGGATGCCACAGTGTTGCCGTGGGGCTGCAGGCTGAGATGCCGCCACGTCGCATCGCGCCCGATTTCGGTGAAAGCGGATCTTCTCGCGTCGCAAAACGATATGCAACACCATGCATATACAGTTACACATATACTAAGGAAATCACATATATATATGTATATATATATATGTATATGCGCACATAAGGCCGCGTTGGCGCCTCGCGCCACGTACATTGCTCATTCGAACTTCGCATCTGGTGGCCTTTGCGTCATCTTCTTCACCTCTTGAAACTTAGCCGTTTCCTCTTCGAGCCCCATTACCCCTTGCTCATTTTGCTCACGCTCTCGATTCACATGCTTGTGCGCCACCGGGTTTTTTCCTTGGGGAGCAATTTGACTCGAATTTCGACTCGGACCCGATGGCGTGGCGACGAGATAGTCACCTGGAGGCCCCGAAAAAACGTTGAACCAAAAGCGTGCGCCTTCTTCGCTGGATCCTGCGCAAGCAGGTGTTGACTACCTACCAGACCACCCCAACCCAACCCGAAGACCCGAATTTGACCCGCATCTCGAGTTGGGGGGGTACGGGTTCCATGTGTTGTTTCCATGTTCCCCGACCCTTCCCCACTGGAAATGGAGGGTAAATTGAGGACTTCGGGTTGGGTTGGGGTGGTTTACTGGGTGGTGAGGTGTCGTAACGGCCTACACGTCGAATTTTGAAACCGCTTGGATAGTTCAGCCCTGAAAGATCGCGCAGTCCCGTCAAACGCCTGCCGATTCCTGACCCGCGTTCCTTCCGAACGCCCGCGCGGGTGTCGCCACCGTGTCGACACGACCCAGACCTACCGTTAGATGGAGAAACCGCTGTTCACTGGGGTCGTCTCCTCTACTCCAGGATCTGCTTTTTAGGCTTTCGGGCTGCAGCGGCTCCTGGAGGCCGACGTCGAACGAAAGCCTGCGAGGATTGCAGAAGCTCTAAGACGCCCGGCGGCTTCCAGCGGCTCCCAACGGCATAAAACCAACACATATATGAGCCATCGCAGACTCCGATGAGTGAGGTGTTGAACTCTGGCGAACAAAAATCTGCGGCCTAAACTATGTGATGTGAACTATGTTGTGGCAACCGTGTGGTGTGAGCTGGGCAGTGGAAGCTCTTCGGTGTGAGCTTGACTATATAATGAAGGCAGCGTGGTGGTATCTACATACATGATGTGAGTTACATGGTGCAGGACAGATGGTATGAACAACATGTTGGGAACACCGTTGTGGAAACTATGCGCAAAGAGATGGCCAGTGCAAGCCATATGGCGCTGGACTCACGAGCCGCCGCGCCGCGGCACGGGCGGGCACGTGACGAAACCTCGGCCGACCCACTCAAATTCTGAACACCAGAGCAAAGAACCCCAGTGCACGCACCGCCTGGGGGACCTAAGAGCAAATCGCTCGTTCCCTCGCACCTCAACGTGTCGATCCTTCCCTTCGATGTTTCTCCTCCTCGCCGCCTCCTCCCGCGGCGTCGCCGTCGAGCCGAACGCGTCCCCTGATGATCTTGGGCGACCAGTGCAAGGGCGATACGGGAAACCACGCCGACGATGACCGCGGCAGCGACGACGGTGACGACGGCGGCAACAACGACGGCAGCGACGACGACGACGACGACCGCAGCGAGGGCGACAGCGACAGTGGCGACGACGACGGCAACGACGACGGCAGCGACGACGGCAGCGGAGTCGGGAGCTCGCCTCGGGGGCCCGCGGGCCCGTGGGGGGAAATTATATTCGAACCCTGTGGCCCAAGATGCCCCCCAGACCCCCCGAAATTAACGGAAAGGAGCGGGACCCCCCCTACACAAATATTAGAATAATGGTATGCGTATGTATATCGATGCGTACACATCTGCACATGCATGACGCGTCATATATACACACGGCATTAAGTATACCTCTACATGCACAAACAACGACGTGTATATACCCACACATACATGCAGACACACATGCGTACATGCATGCAAACAAACATACATACGTACACATACATACATACATACATATATACATACATACGCACATACATACATACATACATACATATAAGCATACGTACATACATACATACACACGTGCCTACATGTATACGTACATACATACATACAAACATACAGGCATACATGCATACATGCATACACAAATACGTGCGGTTGTACACAGACGTGCGTACACACATTTGTACAAGTCGTATATATACATATATAGCACACCGAATGTCCGAAGCACTTAAAGATAACCCGAGAAGAAAGCGGATGGGGCCTGGACGGCGCTCGCCCGAAAGCGGTACTATTAAGGCGCCGCCCCCATGGTGCGAGCGGTTCAGCGTGGAAACGGGGAGCCCGCACGCCCTCGTCCGAGACTCCGACCTCTCCCCCGCGATGTAAGCAGGGAGGGTCGATCGCTTCGAGACGGAGGAGGAGGACGGCATGGAGGCAGCAGCAGAGCTCGGGGGCGGGGGGCAGTAGGAGGTAGGGGGAGGGCGGCTGCTCTTCCTTTCGCACCGACCCCGAGCAGGAGTGCAGGGCCCCTCGCGCCTGTCGCGAGCAAGCCCAAGGAGAAGGGGCACGGCGGGGCTCAGATTGGCGTTCGCCTCATCATTCGGCCTCGCCCTGTGGTGCTGCTCAGTGTCGTCGGTACTGGGGTGTGCTGGCGTGGGAGCGGGCGTAGGCGAGGGTGTAGGCATAGGCGTAGGCGATGGCGTGAGTGGAATGATAAGTAGCGTGCAGATCCACGTCTCGGCGTCCGTCGCTTTGAGGCGCCTGGTGGACTCGCTAGTGATGGTGGCATCGTCCGCAGTCCCTTCCATGTCAGGCTGCCTGTAGGGCAGTTCCGTTTTCCTCCTCCCGCTAGCAGACCCGCGGCCCCCAATGAACAAGCAAGTGGGCATCGCGGGGGGCCGCGCAGTAGTCTCGTCTAGGTCTCGTCCCTCAGCGCCGCCATCCAGAAGGCCAGCTCGTCCTCCACGGACCCCGCTGCGCGCCGCCTTGTCGGCGCTGTGAAACGCTGTCATGATGTGCTGCCTGTACTCGTAGTCCCTGCAGTGGATATTCGCCTGGCCGCTCTTCAAAGCCTTCTCGAGTTTGCAGACCGGGGCGCGCTGCTCCTGGCACTGGTCCGCGGCGCTGGTGCGCTCGATTCGCCCCTGCTCTTCGCGCCGCTGTCAAGCTGAGCCAGCGCCTCCATCGCAGCCCTCGCGGCGCCCGGTGCTGGAGGACCTCTTCCGTGTGATTCCCCTTCGTGGCGACTGGCCTGAGCGTAGTTGCGTTTCTCCTGCGCGATCACCTTCGCGGTCGTGGTGGTGCAACCCTTGTGCTCCCTGATATTCTTCGTGTCCTTCTTGTGGTCGATCTTCTGATCGTCGAGCTCCACGCCCTGGTCCTCGGCCTTCTGGCGAGGGACCTGCGCGCGCCCCTGGCTCCGCGATCGGTCGCTCGGCTTGGACCTGGCCCCGTTAGAGCCACCGCCGCCAGACGTGAAGGAGGATCCCCGCGGGGCACGCCAGCTCGGTCTCTGCGGCGCCGCCTCAGTCGCCGTCAGCGGGGGGCCCGAGCCCGTGGACATCGCGAGCTGGAGTGGCTGCAGGGCGTGGCAGGAGTGCAAGTGACAGCGTGCGAGTGCCCAAGACGTCCTGAGGTACATGACTACGGAGGTGGCCCCGGAGCTCGGTGTACTCTTCATAGGACTCCTGGCAGATCGGGCAGGCGAGGCCCTTCGGGGCAGCGAGGAGGCACGGGGCCCAGGTCTAGTCAATCTTGCACGCGCGTGATTTCCATGCCGCTGCGACATGGCGTTGTGCGCCCACTCGCGTCGGGGAGGTCGCACTGCATATGATGCACTCGCTCTTGAGCGTGAGCTGAGATAGAAAGCAGCACATTCCATGTTCGCCTCCTAGTGCCATTCCTCGTTGATGTGCGTAGAGTACTCGGGCGGTCTTCCGGGTACTCATGCATGGGGTTCCCGCGGATGTTTTCAGCTCGCGCACGAACAGTTCGGCCCCGTCGGATGGGGCGAGCTCCGATGGGAGCTCGGCGGAGGCACCAGGCAGCGCGACAGCGCGCCGAAGATAGGCAGCCCTCATGATGCGCACGTCGACCCCGCAGAGGGCTTCGGCGATCTCGGGGTCCGTGAACAGCGCGATAATGTAGCCCTTCCAGTCCAGCAAATCCAAGGGTTCGGCAGTGTCGTAGGTGAGGAGGTCCTGGATGTCGGAGGCCATCTGTCTGGCGATCGGGCGCGCGCCGGGGCGGATGTAGCCGTCGTCGGTCAGGGTGAGTGGCATGACGGAGAGGTCGCTGTCTCGCAGAAGGCGCTCGACGCGGAGCTCGCCGAACAGAGCGGAGACAAGATTTGGGACGCTTCGGGATGTGCAGCAGCGCCTTGAAGTAGTCTCAGCCGTAGGATCTTTAGTTCGATGGAGCTCGGCACGATGCCCCATCGTCGCCATGCCACGGCCGCGGAAGTCGCCTCGTAGTGCGCGTCGCGGTGGAGTTGGCAGCCATTGGCCTGTAGCATGGTCCGCAGCTTCTTGCCCAGACAGATGTCGAGCTTCTTGTAGTCCGTGGCGTAGAGGTAGTTGGTCTCGGCGGCGCTTATGGCGGCTTCATAGACGACGGCTTGGAATTCGAGTCTCTTAAGTCGGCGTGGGGCTCGGCTAAACCAAAAGTGGTGGTACTGGCACCATCCTGCGTTTGCTGATCGTAGTCGTGCTTCACGTTCTCCGTGGAAGGATGCTTTGGCGTCGAACATGCCCCCCACGTGCTTCATCGAGGTCAGTCTTTTGCAGTTTTCGCGGGGGTCGGTGAAGAAGGCGCGGCGAAGGGACTTCGATGGGATGCTGTGTGCGATCTCCTCCTTCGTCTCGTTTAGGCTTAAACCTCCCTGGCGAAGTGACCAGCGCACCACCTTGAGGTCGCGCGCGATGGTGGCGGTCAGGGAGCGGATCTCGTCGATGCTGGCGTCGTGTAGTTGACCGCTGGAGTCGACGGCTTGTCTGCGTGGTCCGACGCGAGGAGCGACGTGGAACTTCAGGATGTCATCCACGAAGACCCGGCGGCTGAGGTCTTGCACTGGCCCGGCGGGATCGCAGGTAGGAGCGCGCGACTGGAGCGTGATGCTGGCGTGCGTCGATACAGTGTCGGTGCGCCATTGCTCGAGCTGGCGGTTGTAGTCCTTCATGAATGCGTCGGGCTCGTTCGAGCATCCCATGAGGCCCCCCTCGCGGTTGCGCATGATGAGCGCGCCGTCGCCGGCCTCGACGACGGCCTGGGGCTCCACGCGTCGTTGTTGCACAAGATGGCGGTCGCCGTCGAGAAAGGCCCAGATGACGTGCTCGTTGATGGCGTCGTGGTGGGCGCGCCCGAAGGCGTTGCGGCCTTCGTGGAAGCGCACTGCGAAGGCGCCGTCGGAACTTGCTGGCGACCACTCGGGTGACTATCATGCCGAACTCGCGTCGTCGATGCGTGATGCCGCCGAAGGCGTAGTCGGGCGGCCGTGTCGGGAATCCCCGCTCGCGTAGACGGCGGTAGAAGCAGCGCCAGAAGACGTCGAAGCATTGGATGAGGCGTAGACCCGCGGGCCCTAAGCATCTTGCCCTTGTCCAGCTGGAAGCTCTGCGAGGTGTTAGCCTGCATGGGGGCGCGGCTGCGCTGTCGTGCGTGCGCAAGGCAGGCGACAAGTCGTGATTTACCAGTCGGCATTCCCGCGGGAGTTGAAGCTTCCTCTTAGAGGGGTCCTCGGAGCCGTCGGGGGCATTCAATGCGCCTAGGCCTCCTTGCGGTCGTCCAGTGCGTCGTAGAAGTTCAGGTTGCAATGCCATCGGCAGGATCTCGGCAGGGGCCGAGCATGCGGGGGCGCACTTCCCGCGCTTGGCCTTGCCCAGCTGCTTGGTGACAGCAGCAAGATCGTGGACAGCTTCGATGGCGAAGTTAAGCTGGGGTGGGGCAGTGCGTGGCGGAGTAGGTGCGCTGGCGGTGGTTGCTGGCGTCGTTGTGGTTGGCACCGTTGGGAGGTGAGCGGTCGGGGGCGCGTCGTCGTCGGCGTAGTGCTCGTGTTCCTGCTCCAGCATGGTGTCGAAGTCGAGCTCAGTCCAAGAGTGGAGCGTGTGTGGTGCTTGTTATGGCTGTCGTGGTGCTGGTCGTGGGCGTGGGCGTCGGGGTGGTCCTGGATGTCGGCGTCTGCGTGAGTGGAGGCAGTGGTGGAAGTCGCGGTGGTACCAGGTCTTCACGCGTCGGGAGAGCGACGGGGGCTGGAATTGCGAGTAGACCTCCTTCGGCGCCTGGCCGTTGTAGAAACTGTTGCCATTGGTCCGTGCTTGGTCGCGAACTCGGGAGGATGCCGAAGAAACGCTTGCGGGTCCGCAACCTGTAGCGCAACTTGGTCTTGGTGGCGCGGTGGCATCCGGCGAGACGTCGAGCGCGCCATGCTTGCCAGAGATCGTCGCCGTGCATGTCCTGGTACTTGAGGTTGGTGTCCTTCAGGTGGCGTCGGTATTTTTACTCAAGTCGTAGATGGTTTCGTCGAGCCGGCGCAGGTGGTCCTCGTTGGCGTCGGGGTGGTCCTCGCGGGCGTGCAAGCGCTGCCGAAGCTGGGCGCGTTCTTTGTGGAGTTGGAGCTTGTGCCCTCGAGCTTCGCGGTGCCAGTCGGGTCCGCTATAGGCGACGGCGAAGTGCTCCAAGGCGGCGTCGCGGAAGCACTGCATGGTGAGGCCCCAGTGGTAAGTGCGGTCCTCCTGCGTGAGGTACTCGTCCAGCAGGTCGGCGTGGGTGCTGAGGTTGTGCCCCAAGCTCTCCAGGAATCCTGTCCGCTTGTGGCCCTCCTTGAGTCCCAGTGCGATGGCGTCGCGGCCCATGGTCTGGAAGGCCTTGGAAGCGGTGTGGTAGGCGGGCGGAGCCTCGAGCTTGATGATCAGCGGCTTGTGGCCCTTGACCAAGCCCGTGGGGATGTCGATGTAATCCGTGACCGAGGGGTGGCTTCCGTCGTAGGCGGGGCCCGTGTCGTAGTAAGTGTTCGCAACCGCCATGTACGTGTTGGCTAGTGTGTGGTGGTAGAGTTTGCCAGCTTCGCCCTCCTTGCCCGTCAGGAACTGGCCAAATGTCTCATCGCCGTCGGGGCCTGCGGCGAAGCGGCCATTGAGGTCCATTATGACTATCGGGGTGAAGCGAGATGGCGTGTTCAAGATCTCCTGCTTGACCCATTGGGCCACCTTCGTCATGGTGGCTCGCCACTGGGGGGGGCTTCTTGCGGTCCCATGGAGCTGGAGGTGAGTAGACAGTAATAACCTTCAGCTTCGTGACGCCCTGCTCGATGGTGATGGTGCCTCCTCTGCCGTGGAACTCTTGTGGCGGCGCGGTGATGTCCTTGATGTGCTTCTCCTTGAACCTGTGGTTGAGTAGGATGCTGCATCCCGCGGCGTTGTTGATGTGCGCGCTGTGTCGTCCGTAGCCGAAGTGGATGGCTGTGTGGTACTCGTGCCGCTGCGTGTGGTGCGGGCTGTGTGGGTGCTTCGGGATCTTCGTGCCAGGGGGCAACCCACGATCTGGATCTGGCGCAGCTGCGCAAAGACCTCCTCGCCACGGGTGCCTGTCAGGCTGAAGGGGTTGAACATTGCGAGCGACAAGAAAGTGGCTCGAGCGGCGTTCATTGCGCGCCCGAGGGAGCACATGCGAGCGGCGCCTTCTGTGTTCGAGCAGGCATCTCTGGCCTGTGTGGCGCCTCCACCAGCCCCGCGGAATCCGCTCGAGCCGAAGGTTTTTTATGTATATATATATATATATCATTGTATATAAATGTATATGTTAGATGTTTGTGCAAATCTGTATAAACATATACTTATGCACAATATGTATGTGTATATATATATATATGTATATACACATGTGTATATATATATACATATGTATGGATGCCACCGTGCCTCGAGGCACGAAGTGCAGTCACCCCTAGGCTCTCATGGGTTCTCTGCTTTCTGTACTCAGGACTGGGGGATTATAAAATTTTGCGGGCCGGGGCCCCAGATTTAAAAATTTCCCAAGCGCTCCCGCGCGCCCCTGGGCTGCCCCGCGTGACTTTCCAGAGGCACGAGGGCCCAAAGACGGGTCAGGTCAAAAAGGCTTGAGAAAACACCCAAGAAGGTCCAACAGGCCTCCAAGACAGCCCAAGAGCGCTCCAAGACGCCCAAGATGGCCCCAAGACGGCCCAAGAGGTCTCAGAGAAGCCCAATAAATAGGGCTCCAAGAGGACCCGGAAGAGGGCTCAAAGAAGAAAAATATGGAATGTCATTATGTTTGAAACTATTTTTCGCGTTTTCACGTTTTCAAGCTCCCGACGCTCCAAGATGATCTCAGAGGCCCCCAAGACCGCCCCAAGACGGCCCAAGAGGCCCCGAAGAGGGTTCCAAAAGGGTCCAAGAGGGCTCCAAAACGGCCCAAGAGGCGCCCAAGATCCCCTAACACGGCCCCAAGACGGCCCAAAGAAGGGCCCAAACCGGGGAACACGAACAAACAATTCGAGCCTTCCGCCCCAAGAGCCCCCCAGAAGGCCCCTGGAGCGCCCCCGGGGTCCCCCCCTCGGGGTTCCAAGCAGCTGGTTTTAACACTCGAACTGCCTACGCCGCTATGTATAGTATAGTGTGTTGGTGCGTACGCATGTATGTATGCATGTATGTATGTATGCAGATATGCATGTATGCATGCATGTCTGTATGCATGATTGTATGTATGTGTGCGCATGCATGTATGTAGGTAGGTAGGTAGGTAGGTAGGTAGGTCGGTAGGTAGGTAGGTAGGTATGTGTGTATGTATGCAGTTATGTATGTAGTTATGTATGTATGTATGTATGTATGTACGTATGTGTGTGTATGTATGTATGTATGTATGTATGATGCGTGCATGTTTTGATGTAGGTATGTATGAATGGATGCGTGCATGTAAGTATGCATGTATGTATGTATGTATGTATGTATGTATGTATGTGCGTATGCGTGTATGCATACATGTATGTATGTATGTGTGTATGGATGTATGTATGTGTGTATGTATGTATGTATGTATGTATGTATGTATGTATGTATGTTCGTATGTAGGTTCGTATGTGAATGTGCATACATATAAGCATACACAGACGTACAAACAAACATAGACATGAATGTATATACATGTCGATATATAGGCAGACCCATACATATACACATGCGCACACATATACACATATACTTACATGCCTGAATACATGTATATGTGCATAAACATATTCATCTATGTACGCATTCCTCTTCCCATACTTTTAAAGCCCAGGGGCCGGACACCCAACCCCCCCAACAAGAATATCCCACCGGATAGTTTGTGGACCCCTTAGACACTCTTCGAAAAGGTTCCGCGGCCGCGTCGCGCCTCCCAGGGCGCCTTGCTGGGCCTTGCCCAACGAGAAGCCCCAAGAAAACGCAGCACGGCCTCAGCACGGCCCACGAGGCTCCCAAGACGGCCCAAGAGGCCCCCGAGACGCGTCAAGAGGCCATCCGGAGGGCCCACAAGAGGCAAACATCTTCAGATTCCTTTTGAGAAAACGTGCATTGTCAACATATTCGCTTTGTGTGTTGTAGCAGCGATCCAGGATCGCCCCAAGACGGCCCAAGAGGCGGCCAAGAGGGCTTCAAGACAGTCCAAGAGGGCCACAAGACTGCCCCAAGACGGCCCAAAGGAAACGCATTAGGCCCCCAAAGGCTCCCAAGAGAGACCCACGAGGGCCATGGGAAGTCACCATGAAGGCCCAAGATGGCTCCAAGAAGGCCCGTCGAAGGCCCAAATTCCACCAGAATGCCCCAGCACTGCCCAAGAGGTACCCAAGACGGCCCGAACGAGCTTCAAATCGACCCCCAAGTAGGCCCAGAGAGGCACCCAGGAGGCCTCGAGAGGTCCCCAACGCCCTTGAGAGGCTTTTTTGGGGCCCCCAAGACGTTCTCCAACGAGGAGCCTCCGCGAGAAATCTTGCGGCTGACGGGGAATGGTTCGCAACGCCAGGCGGGGTGCGGGGATGAATGAGAGGAACGATGCACAGTCGGGGCGTTGACCTAAGGAACGATAAATAAGGAACGAGGTCCCTTTTTCCATAATTTAGACTTCGATTTCCCATCGAAAACCTAAGGACAACCTAAGGCAAACTGCGACACAATTAAGGAACACGGAGCCCCTCCTCAACGAAAAGGGTTCCTTGTTCAGCGCCCCGACAGTACGTGATCTCGAGGGGCCGTCCTGGGAGCCCGCTGGCTCGTGTTAAGTTGCGGCCACCTCGGGGGCCATGCCGGAGCCGTCCTCCAGAAGAGTGCGGGCGGCTAGCCGGGGAGGCCCAGGGGGCCATCGGATAGGTGCCCCAGGGCGGAGGGGGCTGTCCGAGAGGGGTCATAGTATTTTGAAGGTGGGGGGGTCATCGCTTCTTCGTGTAGGACGTCTAATTTCATGAACATCATCTACTACAAAAGTAAACAGACACCCCCCTTCAGCACCGGGGCGGCCGATCCGCAGCCATCCGGGAACGCTTTCTGCAACCCTCCTGATTCGCTTCCCCGAGGCGGCCCGGAGAGGCCAAGGAGATGCAAAGACGGGACAAGAGGGCCTCAGTCGGCCCCCGAGACGGTCCAAGACGCCCAACACGGGCCCCGATGACGTGGCGACGAGAACGCCACCTGCAAGCTCCGAAAAATTATCCTGGACCCATCGTAGGCTTTGAAAGCACGCTGGGGTTCTCCCCAATTCGAGCTTCCGGTGGCCCACGATGCACCTGGGTAGGGGGCCACATGCGAACCCTACCCATACCCCCCACAATTTCTGAGGGGGAGGGTCGTCCGAGCGATACCAAGCCTTTGCGCGCGGCTGAGTCTGGTGCGGCCGCGCAGCCCCGAGGCCCCCGCCGTGAGCTCCGGCTCTGCCTCCTGCGCCTCGGGCTGGTCCTCCCGGCCAGGGGGAGGTCGCGTCGGGGCGAGGGCTGCGGCTTCTGGGCGCCCAGCTCACCACAAACGGACACGTGATCAAAACGATAAGATCGCGTTTCTGTACGTTCGGCGATGACGGGCGTCATAGGGGGGGGGGCGGGAGAGGGGAAGACGTAACGCCACCCCCCCGCCGTGTGGCTCCCGAACCACAGCGGGGCCCGCGCGCACTACGCGACGAGCGACGAGCGACGACGCGAGCAGCATGTAGGTGGCGATCTGCCACACTGCGCCTGTGTACGCCACAACGCTCGCGTGCACCACAGCGCGCGTGTACACCACAGCGCCTGCGTACACCGCAACAGTCGTGCGCAACGCAGCGCCTGAGTACACCACAGTGCTTGCGTACACTACAGCGTCGGTGTACATGTGTACACCGAAGCAACCATGTGCAACACGGCGCTTGTGTACACCACAGTGCTTGCGTGCACCGCAGCGCCTGTGCACGCCACAGCGCCTGTCTACACAACAGCATTCGCGTGCAACGCAGCGCAGGTGTACACGACAATGCCTGCGTGCATAGGACAGATAGAAGGAGCATGTACGTGAGGATCTGCTGCGGACAACGAAACGCCACGCCAGGAAAGTGCTGATAATCGAATGCGACGTTCTTCCTTCCTCCCTCCTCCTCCACCTCCACATCCTCCTCATCCTCCTCCTCCACCTCCTCCTCCTCCTTACCACCTGTCGTGCGGGTTGGCGCTACAGCGCACGTGCGCATCTCAGCGTGCACCACAAAATGGTCGATTGAATTGGTCCACTTGGCTCTCGGACGGCCAATTTAGGTGGAGCGCTGGAGCCCGCTGGACGCAAAAGGGAGGAGTTATGGTGATGCGGGCGGACTCGGGAGGACTCGTAGATTCCAGCGGCGCTCCTTTGTCAATACGGATTCATTTCTATTGTTTCTCTGGAATCCACAGGCGCTCCATTTTGTCTCAAGGACTCCTTCTAACATTCTATCTGCAACAAAGGTGCTGTGTTGCACACGGTTGCTGTGGTGCCAACAGGATCGTGGTGTATACAGGTACTGCAATGCACGCAGGCTTTGTGGTGTACACTAGTGCTGCGTTGCACTCGGCCGATGTGGTGTACGCAGGCGCTGTGGTGTACACAAGAGTTGTTGTGCCCGCAGGCACGGTGGCACAAACTGACGCTGTGTTGCACGCGGCTGCTGTGGTGTACATAGGCGGTGTGGTGTACACAGGCGCTGTGGTGCACGCAGGCACTGCGGTGTAGACAAGCGTTGTGGTGCAGATCGCCACCTATATGCTGGTGCCACCCGTCCTCCGTCATTCCTAAACATTCCCAGACGCCGCCAGCGCAAAACGTGACGTCATCGACCCCCTCCACCCCCCCCCAGATGATTGCCGTCATCGGCTTGGAATAAAAAAACAGGCTCCAGCCGCGTCCGAGCGCACAACGAAGATGAGCGACGAGCGACGAGCAACGAGCGACGACGACGACGACGACGACGACGTCGACGTCGACGACGACGACGACTGCGGACCAGATCCTATGCGGATTCCTACGCGGACACCTACGCGGATCCCAATGCGCACGGCGGCAGTGCCCGGAGCGCAATGGGGGGGGAGCGGTTACGTCATAGGCGGGGGGGGGAGCGGGGGCCATGACGCTCGTCATGCCCCAAGCAATAAAGAAACGGGCTCGAATGATGTGAGCAATCTGGTCCAGCTTCCCGGAGGTTTTTTGAAGCAAGCCCGGGCCAATGTCTGATGTTACTGCTGGAGGGTGCTCCAGATACTGGGCCAACTCTCTGGCAAGTTGGTCAAGAAATGTTGGCCCAGCTTTACGGGAAGAGGTTCGCCAACCAAATGCTCGACTGCAGATGCCGAACTTTGTCGGGCACGAGCCATGGCGACCTTTCCGAAGACCAGCGCAGCAGACCTCCCGATATCGGAACGAAGACAACTATCCAGGTCCACCTCGTTCCTCCCCCTCCCCACCGATCATTGGATACCGGATGTTTGTCGGTCGCGATCGGTAGCGACCGATCAGCAAAACGAATTGGTCGCGACTGATCACGACCGATCCCACAATCAATTGTGAAGCCGAATCGGCAACGACCCGCAACATCGGTCGCGACCAGAAAGCTTGAGCAGCCAATGATCAAGGTAGGAGACACTGAGATTCGACGCTGCGGAAAAGCTGCAAAAGCGAAATCCGTGCGCGGCTCGACCGCCACTTCTGGTGCTGTCGAAGATCAGTGCGCGGCGTCTCGCCTCTTGTGCTCCGGAGTCCTCTGGGCCCACCTCAGGGCTCCCTCCCGAACGCGTTCTGCGTGAGTCCCCTGAGATCCGACGCTGCGAGACAATGCTGCCAGTAGTCGCAGCCAGAGCCCTACAGCATCTAGAGCCAGTCTTCCTGCGACAGCTTCCGGGCCGGAGGGCCGATCTTTCGAGTGCCCCGGTGCTCGAGACCGCCCGAGACCCGGCGGAAAGGAGACCCAGCGAGAGAGGATTGGAGGAGGAGGGCCCAGGGCCCCCAGGCGTCTCAGTCACGCCATGGTTTGTGGATGTCATGGCAGTGGACACTCTAAGAATCCGATCGTTGAATTAAACGTGTGTTTAAAAATGTGTAAAGCATGTTCTAAACATGTTTCGAGCATGTGTTTCCCAATCTAAAACATGCTTGAAACCTGTTTTAGACATCGGGGAATTATTTGGCAGCACGCTTCCTCTCCATTAATCGACTTCCACAAATGTAGCGTCGAGATTCCAGGGAGAGAGGATTGGAGGAGGATGGCCCAGGGCCCACAGGCGTCACAGTCACGCCATGGCAACCACGACCCAGGCCTGCGGAGGGGCCCTTCAAGAGCCCCCCAGAAACCCCCTTTAGGCGCCCGCAAGAGGCCCCAAGAGACCTCCAAGGCGCCCCCAAGAAGCTCCCCAGAGACCCCCAAGGGGCCCCCTAAAAGCGCCCCCGATGCACCCAAGAGCCCTCCAAGAGGCCCCTGATTGGGCATCCCAAGAGACTCTCGCATTCGTTCCAGAGGCTCCTGACCCATAGCCCGGGCACGGTGGTGGGTTGGGCCGAAGGCCACTACATCCGCCGCCCCCTGTTAATTTATCACGGGGGTGCCCTGCGTGCTAAACGTCTGCTGGTTTTCGGTTATTTTAAACCTCCCCCTGGGGATTCGGCTCAGCGCGCCAGCCACCCCGAAAGGACTTCCAGACGTGGTTGCAAAGGTTGTTCTTGCTCCAGATGGCTCCAAGATGGCCGAAGATGGCCTCCAAGACGGCCGCGGTGTCCTCCAAGTTCGCCCGAGATGGTCCCAGATGGCCTCCAAGACGGCCAAGAGAGTGCAAGATGCCTCCAAGTTCGCCCAAGAAGCCTCCAAGACGACTGAAGACGGTCCAAGAGGCCCCTAAGAGGTCTCCAAGACGGCCCAAGAGGCCTCCAAGAGGTCCTCCAGGTGGGGCCGAAGAGGCCGAAATCATTGACTCCCCCTAAATTCTCGAAGAATGTTGGCATTTGCTTCTTTTCGGTCTTCCGACGGCCCAAGACGGCATAAGAGGCTCCTCCAAAGATTGCACCAAGATCTCCCAGGAGGCCTCCCGAATGGGCCCAGGACGGCCCACGAGGCTCCCAAGACAGCCCCCAACGGGCCCCAAGACGGCCGGAGAGGCCTCCAAGACGCACAACGCGGCCTCTATGACGACCCTGAAGCTCCCCAAGAATGCCACAAGACGGCTCCCCATGCGGCCTCCGACGGCGTCAGACGGGACAGGAACGCCGAAAGACGGCCAAAGAAGCCACGAAGAAGCCCCCGAAGGCCCCCAAGAGGACCAAGGAGGCTCCCAAGAGGCCTCCAAGAGGCATGAAGCCAAGAAGCTCCCAAGAGTTCTCGTCATCCTTCTCCTCATCCTCCTTTTTCATTCCTCGCCTCATCCTATTTCTCCTCCCCCACATGTTCCCCGAAGGGTTTCCACAACGGCTGGGGGAGCGCATGGTTCAATAGCGTGACCACATACGCGTATCCTGAATGGCAGGGGGCGGCGGTGATTCGCCGTGGTCTTCTTCGATCCGCCGCCGCCCTGTTCATTGATCACAAAAGATCTGGTGGTTGTTGGCTCTTTTGAATGCTCCCCCTGGGGCTTCAATGTCACCCGGAAAGCTCTGCAAATTTCGCCTCGCGTTGGCCCCATCGGCGCCATGGTCTCCACGATGCCTCCAATGCGGCCAAGATGGCCACAATAGAGCCCAAAATGGCCCTAAGATGGCCTCCAAGACGGTCCCAAGAGGCCTCCAACACCGCCAAGATGGTCCAAGAGAGCTTAAGACGGCCCAAGAAGCGCCCACGAGGCCCCGAAAACGGCCCAAGAGGCACCCAAGAGGTCCCCCAGGAGGGTCCGAAGAGGCCAAAATTATGGATTTCCATTTGGTGTTATAGATGATTTGCTGCATGTGCTTGTTTTCGGTCTTCCGAACGGCCCAAGACGGCACAAGAGGCTCCTCCCAAGATTCCACCAAGATCTCCCAGGAGGCCTCCCAAATGGCCCCAGGACGGCCCACGAGGCTCCCAAGACAGTCCCCAACGGGCCCCAAGACGGCCCAAGAGGTCTCCATGACGCACAAAATGGCCTCCAAGACAGCCCTGAAGCTCCCCACAAGTCGGCTCCAAATACGGCCTCCGACGGCGTCAGACGGGAGAGGAACGCCGAAAGACGGCCAAAGAAGCCGCGAAGAAGCCCCCGAAGGCCCCCAAGAGGACCAAGGAGGCTCCCAAGAGGCCTCCAAGAGGCATGAAGCCAAGAAGCTCCCAAGAGTTCTCGTCATCCTTCTCCTCATCCTCCTTTTTCATTCCTCGCCTCATCCTATTTCTCCTCCCCCACATGTTCCCCGAAGGGCTTCCACAACGGCTGGGGGAGCGCATGGTTCAATAGCGTGACCACATACGCGTACCCTAAAAGGCAGGGGGCGGTCTTCGATCCGCCGCCGCCCTGTTCATTGATCACAAGGGATCTGGTGGTTGTTGGCTCTTTTTAATGCTCCCCCTGGGGCTTCAATGCCACCCGGAGAGCTCTGCAAATTTCGCCTCGCGTTGGCCCCATCGGCGCCAAGACGGCCAAAATGGTCTCCACGATGCCTCCAATGCGGCCAAGATGGCCACAATAAAGCCCAAAATGGCCCTAAGATGGCCTCCAAGACGGTCCCAAGAGGCCTCCAACACCGCCAAGATGGTCCAAGAGAGCTTAAGACGGCCCAAGAAGCGCCCACGAGGCCCCGAAAACGGCCCAAGAGGCACCCAAGAGGTCCCCCAGGAGGGTCCGAAGAGGCCAAAATTATGGATTTCCATTTGGTGTTATAGATGATTTGCTGCATGTGCTTGTTTTCGGTCTTCCGAACGGCCCAAGACGGCACAAGAGGCTCCTCCCACCAAGATCTCCCAGGAGGCCTCCCAATTGGCCCCAGGGCGGCCCACGAGGCTCCCAAGACAGTCCCCAACGGGCCCCAAGACGGCCCAAGAGGTCTCCATGACGCACAAAATGGCCTCCAAGGCAGCCCTGAAGCTCCCCACAAGTCGGCTCCAAATACGGCCTCCGACGGCGTCAGACGGGAGAGGAACGCCGAAAGACGGCCAAAGAAGCCGCGAAGAAGCCCCCGAAGGCCCCCAAGAGGACCAAGGAGGCTCCCAAGAGGCCTCCAAGAGGCATGAAGCCAAGAAGCTCCCAAGAGTTCTCGTCATCCTTCTCCTCATCCTCCTTTTTCATTCCTCGCCTCATCCTATTTCTCCTCCCCCACATGTTCCCCGAAGGGCTTCCACAACGGCTGGGGGAGCGCATGGTTCAATAGCGTGACCACATACGCGTACCCTAAAAGGCAGGGGGCGGTCTTCGATCCGCCGCCGCCCTGTTGATTGATCACAAGGGATCTGGTGGTTGCTGGCTCTTTTTAATGCTCCCCCTGGGGCTTCAATGCCACCCGGAGAGCTCTGCAAATTTCGCCTCGCGTTGGCCCCATCGGCGCCAAGACGGCCAAGATGGCCTCCAAGATGCCTCCAATACGGCCAAGATGGCCACAATAGAGCCCCAAATGGCCCTAAGATGGCCTCCAAGACGGTCCCAAGAGGCCTCCAACACCGCCAAGATGGTCCAAGAGAGCTTAAGACGGCCCAAGAAGCGCCCACGAGGCCCCGAAGACGGCCCAAGAGGCACCCAAGAGGTCCCCCAGGAGGGTCCGAAGAGGCCAAAATTATGGATTGCCATTTGATTGTCGAAGATGTGTTGCATGTGCTTGTTTTCGGTCTTCCGAACGGCCCAAGACGGTACAAGAGGCTCCTCCCAAGATTCCACCAAGATCTCCCAGGAGGCCTCCCAAATGGCCCCAGGACGGCCCACGAGGCTCCCAAGACAGTCCCCAACAGGCCCCAAGACGGCCCAAGAGGTCTCCATGACGCACAAAATGGCCTCCAAGACAGCCCTGAAGCTCCCCACAAGTCGGCTCCAAATACGGCCTCCGACGGCGTCAGACGGGACAACAACGGAATAAGACAGCCAAAGAAGCCGAGAAGAAGCCCCCAAGGCCCCCAAGAGGACCAAGGAGGCCCCCAAGAGGCCTCCAAGAGGCTCCCAGGAAGTACCCAGGAGGCCCTAAGAATGAGCCAAGAAGCTCCCAAGAGTTCTCGTCTCCTCGTCGTCCTTTTTCATTCCTCTCGTCATCCTACTTCTGCTCCCCTACATGTTCCCCGAAGGGCTTCCACAACGGCTGGGAGAGCGCATGTTTCAATAGCGTGGCCAAACTTCGCCCAAACGTTTGGCCACATATGCGTATCCTAAAAGGCAGGGGACGGCGGTGATTCGCCGTAGGAGCCTTCGTTGACTTCCACGATCGTCGCAAGCTCTGCCTCCTGGTGGTCGGCGGAGTGGCGAAAGCCACTTGAATACCCCCTCCTGGGTAGCAAGAGCGAAGAGGGAGGCGAACACGACATGTGCACCATGAGCAAGCGGGTCACCGTCGTCGGTCATCAAACGAGCGCGCAAATATTTGAGCCAGTGGCCATTGAAGAAAGACGGGTGACTACTCCGAGTTGTTCAACAAGCACCCTCCTATGCCACTCTGCCCGACAACCCGTCCTGCCCCCCCCCCACGGGCGCCGAACCAGCCCCGAACGCGATGGAACGCGATTCGACCCCCAACGCCCCGCGGAGGACAGCCTGCTCTTCCATCCCCCACGCAATCTAAGCCCCAACGCTTCTTGAGCAAGTCGGAGTACGCCATCCACTCAGCTCAAGCCAATCAACTCAGAGGGAACAAAACAGAACCGCACAAACCAAGACTCTTGAAGCTCCGCGCGGATCCCTTGGATCTGAGCTTCGACACCTGACTGGCGGTCCTTCTAGCCAGCTCACTGACCGACCGGCCCTGCCGACGGCCGACCGACCACAAGAAGAAATTTCGGCCGGCCTCCCTCGGGGACCTGCTGACCCGGGTCAATCCAGACCCGGGTCAGTCAGGCCTTGCAGAGTCCTGCAAGATCCTGCAAAATCCTGCACCCAAACCCGGGTCAATGCGAAGGATCCTGCAGGATCCGGCAGGATCCTGCACCCAAACCCGGGTCAATGCGACCCTGGCCCTGCAGGATCCTGCAAGGTCGGGGCGCTCTGGCTGACCCCCGTTTGCACTGACCCCCGTCTCGAGGCTCCCGACTCCCAAAGCGTCCTCGGGCTCCGGCTCGCCGACGAGGCGCGGGTTCCACGGGGAGCGCTTCGGGGGCGGAGCCTTGCTGTGGCGCACGCGCGCGCGGTCGGACCTCCGAAGAACCACGAATCGGCGGCGAGCGAGGGGGGGAAGCGAGAAGGAGAAGGCCTTCTCGGAAGGCGGCAGCGCTTCTCAGGAGCCCTCGCGCCTTCTGAGAGTTCTGTGTCGTCGGGGGAAGGCTTCGTAAGCAGAAGGCCAGTGGACTTCCGAGCCTGCTGAGAAGGCCTCCTCCTTCTCACTTCCCCCCCTCGCTCGCCGCCGAAGCAGCGGGTATGAACGTAAACCTTCGGAGCCCCACGCGGATCACCTGCAACGGCGCTGGACCCCCCTCCCCAGCGGCGCCCCTGGCGCGCACGCTCTGCGCGCCAGGGCGAGGGGGGCCCCCGGCGCCGAGGCAAGAGACTCGCGCGGCGGACCCGCGGAAGCAGCGGTTTCTGTGATGCTCTTTTCTCGCGGTCGGCCCAGGACCTGTGCGGGGACTCCGGGATGTCCGGGGCGGAGTCGCGGAGGAACTGCCTCCCCGGGTCGGAGTCCCAGTACCTCGCGGAGGCCACCCGCGGGCATGCCGGGAGACCATTTTCTCTTGAATCGGCGATCACCCGGGTCATCCCTGGGGGGGGGGGAGGAGGAGGAGGAGGAGGGGGCCGGCCGAGCACCTACCCCTCGCGCTGTGGGCGCCTCTGCACATGCCCGCGCCCCCCCAACGCGGACCTGCACAACCGGCAAGGTTAGGTTATCCTGGGAAAGGGGGGGGGGGGGGGCAGGCGGGGCAGGGGGGAGGGGGCCACGCCCGATAACTCGGGTTATCGCCCGACCCTAAAAAAAACAGTCTCCAGGGCGCCGGGATTCGCTGGGGTCCCGAGTGCCGTCCGCCAGGCTGGCTCCTGCGCCTCGGCAATTGCTGGTCCGAGCCGACCGTCAGAACTTGGTGGGCCCTCGCTAGAAGGCAGGGCTATTCCCAGACCCCCTCGAGTAAGGAATTATCCTGGCGAAGGACCCAACCATATGCAATTGTGAGTACCGCAATTGTGAATATCTTCTTCGGTGGCGCTCCCCATGGGGCCACGAAACGTGTGAGGGGTGTGCCGAAATGGGTGTGCGGGACGCATGCGGGCACACCCACTGTGACCTTCGGTGGAGCTCCCTATGGGGCCACGAAACGTGTGAGGGGTGTGCCGAAATGGGTGTGCGGGACGCATGCGGGCACACCCACTGGGACCTTCGGAGGAGCCCCCTACTGGGCCACGAAACGTGCGAGGGGTGTGCCGAATTGGGTGTGCGGGACGCATGCGGGCACACCCACTGGGGCCTTCGGTGGAGCTCCCTACGGGACCACGAAACGTGTGAGGGGTCACGAAACGCGTGAGGGGTGTGCCGAAATGGGTGTGCGGGACGCATGCGGGCACACCCACTGGGGCCTTCGGTGGAGCTCCCTATGGGGCCACGAAACGTGTGAAGAGTATGCCGAAATGGGTGTGCGTGACGCATGCGGGCGGCAGCACTGGGGCCTTCGGCGGAGCTCCCTATGGGGCCACGAAACGTGTGATGGGTGTGCCGAATTGGGTGTGCGTGACGCATGCGGGCGGCAGCACTGGGGCCTTCGGCGTCCCTATGGGTGTGAGGGGTGTGCCGAATTGGGTGTGCGTGACGCATGCGGGCGGCAGCACTGGGGCCTTCGGCGGAGCTCCCTATGGGGCCACGAAACGTGTGAGGGGTGTGCCGAATTGGGTGTGCGTGACGCATGCGGGCGGCAGCACTGGGGCCTTCGGCGGAGCTCCCTATGGGGCCACGAAACGTGTGAGGGGTGTGCCGAATTGGGTGTGACGCATGCGGGCGGCAGCACTGGGGCATTCGGCGGAGCTCCCTATGGGGCCACGAAACGTGTGAGGGGTGTGCCGAAATGAGGGAGGAGGAGAGGAGAGGAGAGGAGAGGAGAGGAGAGGAGAGGAGAGGAGAGGAGAGGAGAGGAGAGGAGAGGAGAGGAGAGGAGAGGAGAGGAGAGGAGAGGAGAACGCGGGGCGACGTCTCTTCAAAACGAGGACCCAACACCACAGGATGGTTGGGAAAAAATCGTGACGGGAGGTTTTTCGCTACTTTGGGCCCCTGGGGGTCCTTGCTGGGCCTGGCCTCGGGAGCGTCAAAAAACGACTCGGGATGAAAAACTGTTCCCGGGGAATAGGTCGAGACCTGGGGGGTCGACGTAATGAAAAAATCATGACGTCGGGGTCTGGGTTGTGTGTCATTTTCAAGAAATGGTATCTGCAGCATGCGAACTGTAAAGCATCTGCTTGCAGAAACAAGCAGAAGAACAAATCCCTGAGGTTTGAATCGGAACCAGAACCAGAACGCCAGCATGGAAGAAACTTACCGAAGACATCAACCGCAACCACAAAAACACGCCCTGTCGTTTCCAGGGCACACTATGCACCAGGGAGAATATATCCCATACCTGCGACGTGCTGGCTTGTTGACAGCGGGGTGCCTGGAGCTTTCTCTCCCTTACCGCCCTTGCGGGGGACCTGGTCTTGGTCCATGGTAGCTCTCAGACCCGATGGCCCACGGGGGCCTGAGACAACGGCCTGCAACCGCCCAGAACGGGAAAACGGCATGGGCCCCCATCATCAAGACTTGACCCCCGCACCTGCTCCGAGGTTGCGCTCTGGCCAAAACTCGAAGGCGGATCCACTCGTGGCGACGAAGGCGCCCCCGTGCACCGAATAGGTCCAAACCAACCCTGCGAACCTCGATCCTTTGATCGTTTGTCTTCGTAGCCTCCGACACAGCGTCGGTGTGTCTAGGCCCCCCCCTTCTCTTTCTGCCCCTCAGGGCACGACAGGGACCGGAGCTGCTCGTCCTGTTGGCCAAGGCAGGTCCAGCCGTGGCTGGGGCAATCCCCCTCCCCCTGCCTCGCTCCCCCTCCTCCTCCTCCTCCTCCTCCCCCTCCCCCTGGGGAACACAAGGATACCGATACTGCTACTCCACTGACCTCCCCTGAGGTGCGTTTTGACGAGGCTTCCAAGGCGCATCCAGCAGTGGCGATGAGGGAAGGGTACCCCGGGATCGGTGTCTCGTGCTCCTCTGATTCCAATCTGTCTCCTGCACATCCAGCCCCTCCTCCTCGCTCGGACCCCTCCGCGCACCCCTCCTGCTCATCCGCCCCCGTGCCGCAGGCACCGACCCGGTGTTCTCTCCACGGCCAGGGCCTCCGACCCACGCGCGCTCCGCCGCTCTCGGGCGCCCCCGCGAGCTCCGTGGGATTCCCGGCGTGACGGGTTCGGAGGCCTCGGGGGCATCGCCAGGGCTTGTCTGAGGCCCCGAGTGTGCTCCGAGGCAGTGTCGGAGGCCCATCCTGGCGCTCTTTTGGGGCCCTCCTGGGGTGGTGTCTGCGTGTGCTTGGCTGTCGGCACGAAGGGCGCCCAAGACGGCCCAGGAGACCCCGGAGTATCGCCTCCAGACAGCCCTAGATGCCCCCAAGAGCCAGGAGGGGCCAAAGAAGGCCCCAAGAATCGCCCCCGTTCGGGCCCAAGAGGGGAAACACGAACCAACATTGGAGCCCTCCACCCAAAGATGATCCCTGGACCGCCTCCAAGTTCCCAAGAGGCCCTAAGAGGCCTCTAAGAGGACCCCTAGACGCTCCAAAGAAGACCCAAAGAGGCTCCCGGAAAGCCTTCCAAGTAACTCCAAGAGTCATATGAGAGGGCTCTGGTCAACAAGCCAGGCACCTTGGCGGGATGGGCCGAAGGCAACTACATAGATACGTAACTCATCCTCGTCACAGTACCGGGCGTATCGGTAGGGCAAGCTGGGCATTTCGCCTTAGTTTGCCTCACCGCTTACGGCCCTGAAAATGTCATTTCCCATACAGTTTCACATACGGACGGCGGATTGATTTCAAAACGTGATTTTCGTTGGAGCGCCGCGCACACGTGTCTCAAACCTTCCCAACCGTTAGAACGATGGAGAGATAGCCGTCGCCAGCATGGGGCTCGGTCCTGAACGCGGCGAACCTTCGTCTTCAGATATGCCGAGCACTACACGGATGGGAAGCCATCGATTTGCAAGATTTGGCTATCGCCTCAGCGCCGCGCGCCCGTCCATTAAAGCTGCAAGGCCGAACCAAGGATGGAGGGCGAGGTGGTTCCAACATGTGGCTCTCGACGTAGAGCCTGAAATTCGCTACAAGGATGGATGTGCATCGCTGTCAATACGTGGGTATCCCTATTGCGCCGCGGGCCTCCGTGTTGTTCTTGAAATGCCAAAAAGCCACGACGGCGGAAGATGGCTCCTGTTGAAATCAGGCTCGCGTTCGAAACTCCTTCGACATGAATGGTCGCACGCTTGAAATGGCGCAACCGCTGTACATACGGGGGATGATCTGGGGTCCCTGTTCGAAACTGGAGTCGCGCGCATGGTTGGGGTTACGCCTGAGGCGTCCTCAGCTGCTACTACCACTAGCGCATCACAGTTCAACAACTTCAAAGATGCACTGCGGCTGTGCTCGCGGGACATACCGCGGACCTCGTGTCTTACGCTACCCAATAAACACGGACGGCGGGCTTTCTTCAAAACTGGGCTCTCGCCTGAACAGCGTGCACATGGGTCCCTGGTCTTTCCACGGGGGAGGCCTTTGCCACACTGAGGCAACCTGGGGCGGGAGACTGAATTGCAACTCGGTGTTGCGCCCCAGGCTTGCTCTGGTCCTCGCTCTCCTCCTGCCCCACTTCCGCATGCCCATCCTTCAAATCCTCACTCTCCTCCTATCGCCCTCTCCTCCCCATCCGTCTCTCCTTTCTCCTCCTCCTCCTCCTCCTCCTCCTCCTCCTCCTCCTCATGTTCATCATCATCGTCATCAGCAGCATCAGCATCACCACCACTGCCACCATCACCACCACCATCACCATCAACATCACTCACCATCACCATCACCATCACCATCACCATCACCATCACCATCACCATCACCATCATCATCACCATCGTCTTCACCATCACCATCACCATCACCACCACCATATCTTCATCACCATCATCAACATCATCATCACCATCATCATCGTCGTCGGCATTACCGTCACCATCAACATCACCATCAACATTATCACCATCACGATCACCAACACCATCACCAGCATCATCATTATCACCATCATCAGCATCACCATCACCATCATGATCATCATCACCCTCACCATCACCATCATCATCAGCATCATCAGCATCATCATCAGCATCACCATCATCATCATACATCACCATCCCCTGCCCCCCCCTTCTCAAGGCCCAAGAGGGGGAGGGCAGGACGAGGAAAAGCATGTTCCAGGAGAGGCCGAGGAGGCTCTCCAGGGATTCCTGGGAGTGTGCCAGGGGGGGGCACCCGGCGTCCACTGCCCACCCCCCCCGCTGCAACATGCTGTCTCCCAGGCTCTCTGTGCCCAGGGGTCCTGCGGGGAGGCTTCTGACGGCATCCCAAAGCTGACACCCTCGCGTCGTGAACAATTGCGACGGGTGTTTTTTTGGGTTGGCTATGTTTGAAGGGGCCCTGGGACACAGAAATGAATAGACACAAATGTGTTCCTGGGAATCGACGATCAATTGTGTGTGTGTGTGTTTCTTCTCCTCCTGAATGTTCTGCTTCTCGGGGCCGGGCCACGGAGCCGTGAAATAGACACCGGGGATGAACAAAAAGCTGGAAGAAGTCCAGACCGCTGGGTTGGGAGACTCTGCGAAAAAAGGCACGACGTCGGGGGTCTGGGTCCTGGTTGAGGGCCGTCAGAGAAAGAGGAGGAAACCTCCCCTTCTCATCTCTCTCTCCGTCTTTTCGCCCCCCCTTCTTTTCGCCTTCCCCCGTCCCGAGGAAGGTAGAGGGAGGGGGCGGGGCAAGAATGGGGCTGTCGGTGGGGGAACCACCGTTGACGGCGCCCAGGTGTCCAGCTCTTTGCGCGTGATGTACTTCTTCTCGATGCCAGACTGCCTTTCCGCCATCTCCTCCTCGAGCTCCTATTACTAGCAGCGTCGTCTTCCACGTCGTCGCTAAAATAAGAGGTCCCTGCACACTGCTGAAACTATCCCGTCGCCGCGGCCAGGCGCGGCTCGGGGCAACGGGGCCGAACCTGGGCCCAGGATTCCCCCAAGCACTGCCTGCACTCAGGGCTTCGTGCTCGTTTTCTACAGGACTGGGATTGCCCGTCTGTCGGGCGGCTATGCGGTCGCCGTCGTCGCACCGTCGCCGCCTCGTCGTCGCTTTCCGTCTGTAGAAGCCTGAGAATCGGTCTGGCGGCTGTGTGGTCGCCGTTGCCGTCCCGTCGCCGCCTCGTCGCCGCCCGTCGTGTGGGCCTAGGTGGCGGTCCGGCCACCGTGTGGCCGCCGTCGCCGGGTCGTCGCCGCCCGCCGCCTCGTCGCCGCATTGCTTGCAGTGCTTTGCGTTGCTCTGCGTCGCTTTGCGTTGTTTTGCGTTGCTTTGCGCTGCTGTGTGCTACTCTGCAATGCGTTACATTGATTGGCACTGTTTTGTGTGCATGCGTTGCTCTGGCTTACATTGATTTGCACCGCTTTGCATCGCGCGCCTCGTTGCGATGTTTTTCGTTGCCCGCGTTTTTTTATTATTTCAAACTGCTTGTCTTAGTTGTTCTCCTTTGTTGTTTTGGAACAACTGGGCCTGCCCGTCGGTATGGCGGCGGTGTGGTCGCAGTCGCCGCCCCCTCGCCGCCTCGTCGCCGCCCGTCGTGTGGGCCTGCTTGTGTTGGTCTGCCGGCTATGTGGTCGCGGTCGTCGCCTCGCCTCTTTGAGCGTGGCCGTCGGCCTGGCGGCTGTGATCGCCGTCGCCGCCGCGTCGCCGTTTGGGCCTGCGGTACTTCCCATTGGTTTGCGTTACTTGGTGTTCCAATGCGTTGATTTGCAGTGTGTTCGCTGCGCTTCGCAATGCTTTGAATTAATTTGCCTTGCTTTGCGATGCTTCATCTTTCTTTCCATAACTTCGCATTGCCTTGCGTCGCTTCGCGTTGTTTTTGCTGCGCAATACTTTGCCCACATAGTTAACATGGATTGCGCAACCTAGATTGCACCACGATGCCTGTACCACCTTGGTTACACAGCATATCCATGAAATTGTACATCCTGCGTGGGACCCCCCCCGGATGGCCGACCGCCCCCCTCCGAAAATCCCGGGACGCTTTCGGACGCCCCCCCCCCCCCGGGCGGAGCACCTTTCCGACGGCCTCCCCGGCCAACCGCCCGCTTTCTTCTGGACGCCGCGGAGGCCCCTGAAGCCTCGCAGAGACTCCCACGATGTACCAAAAGCCCGATAGACGCTCCAAGAAAGCCCCAAGAGCCTTCCCCAGAGAGCCCCAGAAGGCAAACTAAAATGCTTTTCGCTGTTATGAGGCTTCTCGCCTTTACAAGCAGCTTCCCACGCCCCAAAACCAAGAGGCTTCTCGCCCAAGAGGGCCCCAAGAGAACCACAAGACGACCGAAATTATCCAAATCGCACCCCGAGGCCCGTCGGAACGGCGGGCTGGGTGTTTCGCGTGGAACATCTTTACCACTTGTGAACATGAACCTTAAAAAATGGCAGCAGCTTCGCATATGGAGGGCGGGCCGTTTCCAAAATGTGGCTCTCGCCTTACAGCCGCGCGCCGTATGTTTAAATAGTCGGAGAAACTCCCGGGTTGAGGGCGGGCAATGTTCAAAACGTGGCTCTCGCTTGAGTGCCGCGCAGATCTCGCCGTAGCGCCGCGCGCACTCGTCTTGAAATTTCGCAAGAATTTGGACGAATTGAAGGCAGACAGTTTTCAATAATGTGGCTCTCGCCTCAGCGCCGCGGGCGCTCGTCTCAAGACTGTGCAAGAGTTGCATGCGTTGAGGGCGGAAAGTTGTAAACATGTGGCTCTCGCCGTAGCGCCACGCACTCGTCGATTTAAACATTTGGAAGAATGCCAAGGATGACCATGGTCAACGCCTACCATCAATGTGGCGCTGTGGCGATTCAGGATCGCCAAGGCGCAGCGGATACGTTGATTCGCGGCGTTGAAGCACTGGAAACGGTGCCATGGCACGATGGTGGATCGTCAAGATGCCTCAATCAAGTTGATTCGTGGCGTCGGAATCCAAATATTTAGTTGTAAACCGCACTCTGTTTGCCTGGCCAACCGTTTCTTCGACGACATGTCCACAGCTAAGCAGACGTGACCTCGACCCCCCTCGCGGTGGCGGGGTTCGCCGGTGGACCCCTGCGCAATCCTGACCAAGAATCATCCCACGGTTACCACCTTCGCCTCCTCATGATCACCTCCATGACCCTCGTCCCTTCTCCGCATTGCCGACAGCACCTTCATGGTCATGATGTCAGCCCCATACCACGGCCATGCCCTGAACCTGCATGAAAGGCATGGGGAAGCCCTCTGATCCTCTCGCATCATGACCTGAACCGCTCTCGCGGTGTCATGACGCACGCCCGTCATAGCCGTCACCCCAGGTGGGGTAATGGCTTATCCTTTCATCGAGGTCCTTACTCGCATGGCCCATGGCTTTACCCTGTGGCAGGCAGGCCCTTCCCCTTATGGCATGAACATGCCTGCGGTCTCCATCTAACCAATGATCCGCAGAGCCCCTCCTGGTCATGACTGTTCTGAGCCGATGAGACGTTCGGCGGTCCCGAGCAGTACCTGGACGCAGGACCCAGATTTGAGGCGAAGCGAAGCGAGCCCTCAAATCATGCATTACAGGAAATCGCTGATTTGGGTCCACGCTCGCAAACATTTTCTAGGAGTGTTCCCGTCGCCACGGCTGGACGCGGCTCGGGACAACTGAGCCCATCCTGGGCCAAGATCGCTCCTGATGCCCCGATCTTCAATGTCTTGATCTTGTCAATGCAGGTCCACCGAAGTCCCGACCCCTTCACTGGGTGCAGCTGGCCTCGAGTGCTTTTGGACAGTCTCAGTGATCGGAACGACCAAGAACCTCCGCGTGTGACTTTTCAACACGTTGGAGGTCTGGGCCCGAGAACGCCCTGGCCAGGGTCGGTGAGGTGGACAGTCAACGTCCCCCGATGTTGCAGGCAGCAGGCTCCTCGCCCTCCTCCAGCTGCTGCCCATCCGGCGGATTCTGCGCCGCCGCCTGCTCTGGCGCCTCGACCATCTCGACCTCGGGAGGAGGAGCCTTCCCCCCGGCTGCGGATGGGTGCCCCAGCTACACACTCACCTTGAGGTCCAAGTGTTGATTTCTGTTTCACGCTGGGCGTCTTCGCCCATGTCTTCTTACCTTCTGTCCGCGGCCTCCTGGTCTGTTCCATCTGCGCGTTGGGCACACTGCATTCCCCGCGTAGCCCGCCAGGTCTTGCACTCGCCCTGCCACCGCCAACGCCGCGGACAAAACTTCGCCCGGCTTCTGGCCCCCAAGGACCCTCACGGGTCGGCCCGGCTCGAAAACTGCCGCAGGCGGGCGGGGACTGAGGCTCCGGTCATGTTGCACTTGCTTCGCAACGTCGGGCCTCAAGGGGCCCACGCCGAACGGGTTCAGAAGGGGAGCCGGGGGTGGTCCCAGGCGACTCCAGGGCAGAAATGGGCCGCGCACCGATCGTCGACAGCACCGCACCAGCAGTGCCGGCGCTCGCTCCCGGTCCCTACCCCTGCTCCTCTTGGCGGCGAGCGAGGGGGGGCACTGAGAAGGAGAAGGCCTTCTCAGAAGGCGGCGGGACTTCTCAGATGCCCTCGTGCCTTCCGAGAAGTTGCTCTGGCTTCGGGGAAGGCTTCGAAAACTTCTCAGAAGGCCGGGGGACTTCCGAGCCTTCTGAGAAGGCCTTCTCCTGCTCATTTCCGCCCCTCGCTTGCCGCCGATCATGCGTATCTCCATCGACACGCTGAGGTTGGAGCCTCATGCGTGTCTTGCGTGCCCCTGTCCTTGTTTAGTGCTGCCGCTGGAGCCTCGCTTGCTATTTTTGTCTGCTCCGGCTCCTCCTCCTCCTCCTCCTCCTCCTCCTCCTCCTTCTCCCCCTCAGCCGTTCTGGCACAGGTGCGCCTGTGCTTGTAAGCACGTACTTCAGAGCGGCTCGTGCTTGCGAGCCAATCGACAGTTCTTTCACGCTCGCACCCTCCGCCGTCCCAGGAGGCGGCCGATGGTGCCATCGCCCGATGTCCTGCCAGGTCCGAGAAGCCCCCACTGGGGGTGCGGATGCGGTTGCTGGGACAATTGGGCTTCACGGATCAAGTGCAGGATGTGCAACAAGTCAGCGCCGCACCGCGTCGTCGCCTCGGCTCGTCAGGCAGCGGCGCAGGTGCAGTCCCCCTCGGTCTCCACCAAGCCCCACGGTCCCAAGGGTGCTTGGGCCAACGGGCCGCCGCAGTCCGACCAGCTGCGCCTCATCCAGGAGCTCCGGGTGCAGGTGGCCGAGCTCAAGGGCGAGCCAGCGCCGTCAACCCCGGCGTGGTACCGAGGCCAGTCCCCGGCGCCAGAGGGCGGCAACGGCGGCTCAAAGGGCGGCGGCAAGGACTCCAACGGGAGCAACAAGCAGGGTACGGCAGGAAGCAGTGGAGGCATCACGTTCAAGGATGTCGTCGCCTTCATGTCCAAGGCGGGTCTTGACACTGCCATCGTGGAGGCGGCCGAGGCGGCTGAGCTCGCCAAGGCAGGTGAGGCCAAGCAGCCGACGGCCCAAGCACAACGTTGGCGAGTCGAGAACCTCCGTAAGAAGATCAACAAGTTGGAAGGTCGGGCCTCCGCGATCGAGGAGCAGAAGCAGGCCCTCGACAAGGAGCTCGAAGAGCTCAAGGAGACGCTCGCTGCGGAGCGGACCAAGCTCGAGGCGGGCGAGGCCACGCTCGTCAAGCTCCAGGCCAGCGAGTTCGGTGACCCGCTCAAGGCCGTCAGCGCGGGCTTGGACGAGGACGTGCTGGCGGACCAGCAGGCCAAGGACGCCCTCGCGGTCCTGGCCCGGCTCCAGGGTGAGGCTAGTGCGCGGCGCCGTGCCGCGGCGGCCCCTCCGGCGGCTCCTGCTGGTGCTGCTCAACCTGGTGCCGTTGCTGGCGGCCCCCCCCCAGGCGGAGCTGAAGTACCAGCCGTCGACGGAGACGGAGATGACATCGACATGGACCTGCTCGGTGCTGCAGACTTTGAGCAGAAGCAGGCCGCATTCACCACAGCGGCAGCTGAGCTCAGAGCCGCGTCCCCCGAGCAGCAGGAGGCAGCGAAGCGGAAGTTTGCCCAGGCCGCGGCCGCCCTTGGGGTCAAAAAAGTGCGTCAGCTTTAACAGCACCCTGATGCACTTGGCCCCGAATCCGGAGTACCAGGCGTTCTGGGAAGAGAATGCTCCGGATGATGCGTGGCACGGGGTAGCATTCCCAGTCCCCCGACTTCGGCCCGATCGTACCTTCGACGACGCGCGGGTCGACACAAAGTTCACGGCCTCCAGCGGGGCGAGGCTGACGAAGCACGTGGCGCAGGGGGCCGCTGGGGCTGTCGCCGAGGCCGCTGGTCGTGCTGCTGGCTCGCCGCGGCTGGATGTGCAGTCTGGTCGTTCCCAGACGTTGCCTTTGAATCGGGAGCACCAGGAGACAGTTTAGGAGGAGGTGGAGGCGTCGCTCCTCCTGAGGCCGCTGGGGCTGCCGCCGAGGCTGCCGCCAGGGCTGCCGCCGGGGCTGCTGGACGCGCTGCTCGCTCGCCAGGGCGCCGCGCCTCCCCACTGGGAGGAGGAGGAGGAGGAGGAGGAGGAGGAGGAGGAGGAGGAGGAGGAGGAGGAGGAGGAGGCAGAGGAGGAAGAGGAGCTTCGAGCTTGTCAGCTTCGAGGGCACGGCCACGAGGCCCCGAACCCAGTTCCTATCGAGACGCCTCTCGGCAGGGAGCGGCACAGATTCCCACGCCGGGGCCCGTGTGCACGCTGGATGGGGAGCTCGCCCTTATGACGGCCAACGCGTCTCAGTGGTCGTCGGCGCAGACGCTGATGGAGTGGATGCGGCATGACACGTCGGACGTGGGCTTGCCGCAGGTGTTGTGCGTGCAGGAGCACAGGATCAAGAACCAAGGGTTGTGGTCCTCGGCTGTCAGGTGGTCTCGTCAGAGGGGCTACGAGCTTATTGGTGACTTCGCGGAGGTCACCGGGGACGGACCGCTGGAGTCCAGTGGCGGAGTTGCTGTGTTGTCGAGCCTCCCGGCTGTGAAGGAGTCCAGCCCTGCTCGTCTTCAACTCCCTGGGCACCGTGTTGTTACGGCGAAAGTCAACATTGGCCTTCCGATTCCTTTGTATGTCATCTCGCTCTACCTGGTGACGTCTATAGGTCTGGCTAAAGATAACATTGCCATTCTGGCCTCGTTGCTCTCCTTCCTGGGCAGCCTGGACGGGCCGTGGGTGATGTTGGGCGACTGGAACCTCCTCCCCAGCGATGTGGACACCTGGCTTGGGCGTGCTCGTGGTGTCTGCTTGCGCTCATGGGAGCCCACGTGCGGAGCCAGGGAGATCGACTTCGGCGCCTGCAATTCGGTGCTGGCCAAGTTTGTTTCCAGAGTGCGTAGGCTGCCGGATGCTCCTGTTCAGATGCACAGCGCGCTTCTGGTTTCGTTTAAAGGCTTGACTGTGAAAGCCACCATCACACAGCCAGAGCGGCCCATGCTTTTCCCCATTGCCAAACCTCCTCCTGTCCGCGCTGCGCCTCAGGAGGCGCTTCCAGGGGACTGGTCCTGGGCCGTCGGGGAGGCGCTCCCGTCAGATCTCGGCGAGGCGTGCGCTGAATGGTTCCGTCGTGCCGAAGCCTATCTGGCGGAGTTCCACGGTCTTCAGGAGTGGTGTCAGGGTAGGTGGTGCGGTCGTGACGCTGGGTTTAAGACTGTCACGAAGCCACTTGCCGTCTGCTGGCGGGAGTCCCAGCGACAGAACACCTCTTCTGATTACAGGGCTTGGTCTCGATTTTATTCGGCGGCCTTTCGCCTGGTGTCTCTGGGGTCCGCTGCCAGAGAGAGACGAGAGCCTAAGCTGGCCGCCCTCCGTCGTCAGCGGCGCACGGTCGCCTCCTTCCAGCTTGACTGGCCGTCCGAAGGGCCGCTCAAGGATTGGGCGGGCTCTTCCCCGTCTGAGCTCGTGGAGACTCTTTCGTCGGGGGCCGCGGCGCGCATCCAGGACGCATCCCGGTTGTTGATGGATTTGCGCAGTCATCTCGAGCAGCTTCTTCGCCGTGATCGGGATGAAAACTCCCAGGCCTAGAGGGCCTGGGCTCAGGCAGCCGCCCGGGAAAGTGGGGGCAGCGCGGCGTTTAAGTTTGTGCGCGATTCGGTGGAGCCGTCGCACGTCATGACTAATGATGATGGAGTCTGTCAGCCACTTCCTGTGTCGGGCTCCCAGGCGCTGACCAGGATCATGGAAGACTGGGAGCCGCTCTGGGTCTCACCAAGCCGCAAGGGCGAGCAGCACCCATCGTCTTGGGATCTCGACGCCATGTGTGCGGAAGTCCGGAAGAAGGATGAGTCTGTCCAGGCTGCCCCGTCTGATGCCGCTGAGGATCAGCAGGCTTTGGATCCCCTCGAGCCGCTGCCCCCTCTAACGATGGAGCAGCTTGAGCATGTCCTTGGGACGTACTCGTCGTCTGCTGGTCTCGGCTGGGATGAGCTGCACCCTCGGCAATTATTACGGCTGCCTTCGTCGTATCGGAGGGCTTTCCTCGACATTCTTGTTGCCTGGGAGCGCTTGCCTCGGTCGGTTGACCTATGGCTGCTCCTGGTGTTTTTCAACAGCAAGCCCCAGCCCCCAGGTGGTGTCCGACCTATTGTCCTTCTCCCATTGTGGTGTCGTGTGTGGTCGAGGCTTCGTCAGCCTGTCGCTCGTCGTTGGGAACGCTCTCTGGACAATCCTGCTTTTTGGGGCAATGCTGGGCACGCGTGCGATCGATCAGGGCATGTGCATAATATCTTACAGCGCTTCGCACGGCTGAAAGGATTTTCGGCCACGAGCGGAGTGCTGGACCTCAGCAAATCTTATGAATACATATCGCATGACGAACTAAAGCGAGAGGCCGTTCGCACGGGTTTCCCGTTGCAGCTGCTTAGGTGCCTATGTGTGGTGTACCGGCTACCTCGTCGTGCCATGTGGGAGGGAGCTGTTTCACCTCCGATTGAAGCCAATGGTACAGTTGCTGCCTGGTGTTCGTGCGCCCTGGCACTCG